TTTTATTGTATGTAAACCATACTCCAATAACTCTGAAATCCAGGGTTGACCCACATTAGTCCATGATTTAATTAAGACAATAACTTAAAAAGGAAAATAAGCACATTTCTGACTTGAGTATATGTACAAAGACACACTTGTATACTCTTGACTTGAAGGACCCTTTTAACTACAAAGGAGCTCTGGTGAGGCAGTGGTTAAAGCATTCAGCTGGTAATCAAAATGTCCTCAGTTCAAACCCACCAGCCAGTGTGGGAGAGAAAGATGAGGCAGACTGCTTCCATTAAGATATACAGCCTTGGAAGCTCTGTGGGGCAGTTCTGCTTTGTTCTGTATGGTTGCTATGACTCGGAATCAACCCAGCGGCTGTAAGTTTTTATTATTATTAATTACTACATGTTGTTGTTGTTGTTATGTGCCGTCGAGTCGGACGCGACTCATAACGACCCCTCCTTGGGTTTCCGATGCAGTATCACTATGGAAGTAGATTGCCCCATCTTCCTTCTGAGGAGTGGCTGGTGGGTTTGAACTGCCACCCTTCTGGTTAGCAGTCAAGTGCCTTAGGCACTATGCTACCAGAGCTCCTCCCCTCCTTGGGTTTCTATGGTGGTATCACTACAGAAGTGGATTGCCCAGTCTTCCTTCTGAGGAGTGACTGGTGGATTTGAACTGCCACCCTTCTGGTTAGCAGTCATATGCCTTAGGCACTCTGCCACAAAGACTTCCCAATTACTATATATTATAGTATTAATATATCACCCATCTGTCAGTTTCTTATACTGTGAGGTTTTACGGGTTGCTATGATGCTGGAAACTATGTCACTGATTTTTTTAAATACCAGCTGGGTCACCATGGTGGACAGGTTTAAGTAGGAACTTCTACACTAAGATTAGAAAGAAGGCTTGACAATCTATTCCAAAATATTAGCCAATGAAAACCTTATGGATCACAACAGACCACTATCCAACGCATTTGCTGTAAGGATCAATGGCTAAAGGAGAACATCATATTTAGTGAAGTAGAGGCCTAATGAAGGTGAGGGGTATTCTCAGTTACGGGACCCTCAGTGAAATAGTTTTGTATAATAACTACAATGAAATACTCAAGCATGCCCACAATAATGAAGATGACTTGGCCAGGCAAAGTTTTTTTCTGTTGTACCTAAGATTGCCATGTGCTACAGTCCACTTGACAGCAGCTATCTAGGTTTCTATTTACGATACCAATATGTTACTGTTCTAAACACATACATTAACTTTTTTAAGAAATTTCATATCTATCAATTATTCTGACAATAACCAAATAATGATTTCATAAGGATTTGTCTTGGGGATTTTTCTATAGTTGTAAAAGATGGGAAATAATCTGAAATGATTTCAAGTAGTAACTGAAAAATCATTGACTATCCATAGAGTAATATTTTAAAATGGTGAAACATTGAGAAAAGCACAAATACACAGTAAATTTTGTTTTAAAATTTCATGTTACATGTGTACAATTGACTGTGACAATAATAATTACATTTTAAGATGTGAATAAGTTCATACATACCTAAGGTTATACTAGCTCTACATCTTAACATATAGGCCTTTTTTATTTAATTTTAATGTTCATTCATTTGTAAATATTACATGTGACACATGTAGGTATGTTTGCAGGAAGAAAATTATGGAAGGATATGCTCCAAAGTAGTAGATTTTGTTACAGCCCTTCTCTGTTTATCCCTTTGCTTTTCTGCTTTTACTTATCTAATCAACCATCTTAATGTATAATTTATTCATATTATGAAAAATTGGAAAAGGAAAAAATAAAGATCTATAATCTTTGAGCTATCTTACATTATAGCAATGAATTTTAAATTACAAATAAAACTGGATGAGGTTTCCTAGTTTTTTGTTTTTTCTAATAGCATTCTTATTGCTTTCCTACCAGTCTGTTTTAAATGCTTTTGATGCTGAATCCTACCACTAAAGGTTGTGCCCCCACTCTTACCATGTTAAATTTGTTCCCCAAAGTTCATTACACAGATGATTCATTAGTGATTTTTGAACTGGGTCACTAAGGACCTCTTTGTTTATGAACTTTGGTGAAGATATGGCAAGTAAAAAATGATCAGACCTGATGTGGGAACACCCTCCACTGAACAAAGAGAGTACAGAACATCAACTCCTCCATAGCTAGTGGAGATTCCTTTCAGTTGGCTTTTCATTCCAGTGACAAGGAGCAGAAGAAAACACATCCTGGGCCTGTGATGGTACAACATCTATTGTAAAGAATATTATGCAGTTGATAGCATTTTGTTAGTCACCCTCCATACACCATACTTTGCAACTGAGAGAAATGCAAGGGGATTATGCATTCCCAAGGCTGTTGTGATTTGAGGAGTGACCAGATTCAATGAGAGTGACCAGAAATCCTCATGCTCGTTTTCAATTCATTTTAAAAATTCATTTAAAAATTGTAGCTGTAAATATAGTTGCAATTAAGTAACTCATAGAAAGAGGGTGTGATTAATTGCCAGAAGGGTGAGTATGGTAAATTATTTCAGTACAGTTACATTTTCCATTTTGAGGCTTGGGTAATATACGGCTCTAATAAGTGAATCTTCCCAGTTGAAAAAAATTCAGAAATGTGATTTCTAATATCAGTATTAATGGAATATCATTTTTAGAGTGCTATAAACCTGGTTAGTGTGTAGTCATTGACAAGATTATTTTAAGCAGCAACGTGTAACAGGTTATTCTGAAGTGTAACTTGGTGATACGGAGAATATCTCCCACATACAGATTTCTGGAAATTCAAAAGAGAAAAGAAAAACCAATGGCTTAGAATGTGTATTCCAAGATGGAATTGTGTACCAAAGGAGTAGAGTGGGAAAACAAAGTTAGAGGGCAGATAGATAATTCATGTAAAGTGTGTATTTAAATATCTAGAATAATAAATTGACCCTTTATTGCAAAGTCTCAATAAATATAACATATGACTTTTACTGTAAAGAGCACAGAGAAGAAATAGGATGGAGGTGTTGAAAATCAGGAGTTCCATTTCAGAATGTATATGTTTAGACTTTGTAACATTTGGTGGATGACTGAGATTCTGAAAAACAGTCATATGGTAGAGACCAGAAGTTCAAGAAAATTCTCAGACAGTGAATGTGTCAGGAGGTAAAGAAGTACTAAGAAAGAAAGCTGACAACTATCAACTTAATTGAGCAAGAAAGAAAATAAATATCTAGAAATTGTTGTTTTTAGGTGCTATCAAGACAGTTCCCACTCAAAGCAAGCCTACGTACTGCTGAACGTGTACTGCTGTTCATTGCCCAGTTCTGCACCATTCACAAAACTGTTGTTATATTTTCATCCATTGTTTCAGCCACTATGTCAACCCATGTCACTGAGGGTCCTCTTTTTCTCTGCTGACGCTTCTACTTGACCAAGCATAATGTTTTTCTCCAGGGGTTCGTATCGCTTGACAACATCTTCAAGGAAATGATACTAGAAAGGTCACAGAAAACTGGTGTATGTTGTATTTTAGTAAATCATGAGAGAATACAGTATGTGTATAATGTAAGAATACTGTGTGATAAAAGTACACAATCCACTTAGAAATCCCTTAAATTTTAATAGCAAAAATGAAGACTTTGATAATTTTTGATAGAAACTGTTTTATTATAATGTTGGAGATGAAAGGATGATTTAAATATATTGAAGATTGAATGCATGATGACTAAAAACTAAAAATCATTATCAGTCAGATACTTTTATAAATGCTTTATATACTAAACATATAATTTTTCAATATTGTTAGATGGTGTAACTGAGTCAGTAAAAGCAATCAGGAGTTGGATGTTCAGTATTTTAAATCTGATGTATTTTAGATTTAGTGGTAAAAATAATAAGATATTGAAGTGTTTTTCAATCTTAACTGAAAAGTTGTGATGATGTCTTGTATCTTCATGCATGTTGGATCCAACATATTTTAACTTCTGCACAATAAATTTCTTATTGTTGTTGTTGTTATGATGAGTCGGCCCCAACCCATAGCGACCTGTCCTTGGGTTTCTGAGGCAGTATCACTACAGAAGTAGGATTGCCCAACCTTCCTTCCGAGGAGTGGCTGGTGGGTTTGAACCTGCCAGCCTTCTGGTGAGCAGTCAAGTGCCTTAGGGACTATGCTACCAGAGTTCTTTTATCTTTTACATTAGAGTTGGGGTTAATAAGCTTCAATTAAACTGAAAATCATGAGAGAGAGGTAAGGCAAGGTGTGAGTAAAGGGTGCTATTTAAAGAAAACATTATTTTTGAAATTGTACTAATGTTACACCTCAAAGTCTTATGCAATAGATTTGGAGAGCCTTTATAGTGAGCTTCAAACTTTGTGATATATTTCTACTTCATCAAGAACAACACTTTAAGGAAGCACACGAAGGTGATCAAGAAGTTTTGAGATTCAGTTTTGTAATTCAGCCTGAGTAGGGACAGGTGCTGAGAATACAAAATATTAAGTTAGCTCTAACTATATGGAAAAATCAAATCCATGCTGTAGATAAAAATGAAACATAAATTGGGAAGAAAATGTGTTAAGAAGGAAACAACAGTAATATAATGGAGTGTGGTATATATAAAGCTATTTTTTTTTAATTTCTCCTGAAATACTCAAATATACACAATTGTGGAACATATAAAAACTCACTGCCATGGATTCAGTCCTGACTCATAGCGACCTCCTGGGGTTTCTGAGGCAGTATCACTACAGAAGTAGATTACCCAATCTTCCTTTGGAGGAGTGACTGGTGGGTTTGAACAACCACCCTTTTGGTTAGCAGTCAAATGCCTTAGGCATTACATCACCAGAGCTACTAGTATATTGCTAATATGTGTAATCAATTTTTAAATTACATGAAATAACTTTTGCTTTATTTTCCACCATTAATTACCACTCTCCTCATATCAAATATCTTTACTTTTAAATTCAGATTGGATAGAAGTCAGAAGTCAATGATGAGAAACAGCACAATAACATTTATCCTTCTGGGACTGACTGATGACCCACAACTGAAGGTTGTGATTTTCATCTTTCTATTTATCACCTATGTGTTGAGTGTAACTGGAAACCTGACAATCATCTTCCTCACCTTCATCAATTCTCATCTTAAAACTGCCATGTATTTTTTCCTAAAAAATTTCTCCTTCTTAGAAATCTCATTTACGTCTGCTTGTATTCCCAGATACTTGTACAATATATCAACAGGTGATAAAACAATTACATATGACAATTGTTTCATTCAAATTTTTTTTACTGACCTCTTTGCTGTCACAGAATTTTTCCTCCTGGCCACCATGTCCTATGACCGATATGTAGCCATCTGCAAGCCCCTACATTACACAACCATCATGAGCAGCAAGGTCTGTAGAAGACTCATCCTTTGTTGCTGGACAGCTGCCTTGTTGATCATACTCCCACCACTGAGCCTGGGCCTAAATCTGGAATTCTGTGACTCTAATGTCATTGACCATTTTGCCTGTGATGCATCCCCTCTGCTAAAGATCTCGTGCTCTGAAACGTGGCTTGTAGAGCAGGTAGTCACAGTTTGTGCTGTGGTCATCTTTATCATGACTCTTGTATGTGTTATTCTGTCCTATGCATATATCATCAGGACCATTCTACGCTTCCCTTCCGTCCAGCAAAAGAAAAAGGCATTTTCCACCTGCTCTTCCCACATGATTGTGGTTTCCATCACTTACGGAAGCTGCATTTTCATGTACGTCAAACCTTCAGCAAAGAATTCAGTGGCCATTAATAAGGGTGTAGCAGTACTCATGACTTCCATCGCCCCTATGCTGAACCCCTTCATTTACACCCTGAGGAACAAGCAAGTAAAACAAGCCTTCAATAACTCTATCAAAAGAATTGCATTGTTCTTAAAGAAGTAAGATTTGCTAATGTAGAACAATCACATTTTTACTAAAAGGTTATTAGGTCCTAAGTGTGTCTCTATATATGCATACATAAAATACATATATATTTAAGGATTTACTTCTTTCCTTTTCTAGAAAGAAATCTGTTTCAGGATATCATTTCTTAATAAGAGATTATAGTGCAATTTTAAGAAACAAAACAATGGCTTTGTATTTTAAAAAACCTGACAAAAATGCAAACAAAATCAACTAAAATCCACAGAATTGAGTTTATAATAATTTTGGGTAAAGTCATTGTGCTTGTTGCCTTTCTAATTCTGGATTCTGAGGGGTTTCTTTGTTTTGTTTTTGTTTTTTCTTTAATGCCATACATCATTTCAGGCATTGGGGATAAAAATTTCTTATCTTTCATGACTTCTATTCTAGCAAGTTCAATGATCAACACATTAAATAAAATATCAACACTACAAACAACAAATAATAAGAAATATTTAAAAGTTAAAAAGGAATAAAGTACAAATGATTATATCATAGAAGCTGAATCATAAAATGTGAGGAACTATAATTCTGAATACTCTAAAAATTACAAGACTAACAGATTAATTTGTACAGATAATATGTGAAATCAAAATGCTAAAATTTCTTCCTAGCAGACAAGTAAGCTTGTAAGGAAAATGATGTTATAACCTTAGGTACAAGAATGGCAGACTTTGTCTCACGTACTTTGGACATGTCATCAGGAGGTACCAGTCCCCGGAGAAGGACATCATGCTTGGTAAAGTAGAAGGTGGGTGAAAACGGGACCCTCTATGAGAAGGATTGACACAATGGATGCAACAGCGGACTAAAACATAGCAACGATGGTGAGGATAGCACAAGACCAAGCAGGGTTTTGATGTGTTGCACACAGAGTAGCTATGAGTTGGAACCGATTTGATAATACCTAAGATAACACTGGTAGCATAGTGCCTAAGGCACTTGACTGCTAACCAGGAGGCTGGCGGTTCAAACCCACCAGCCACTCCTCGGAAGGAAGGTTGGGCAATCCTATTTCCGTAGAAATAGTGCCTCGGAAACACAAGGAGGGGTCGCTATGAGTCGGGCCGACTCGACGGCAAATAACAACAACAAAGATAACAAATAACATAGTTTCATGTATACACTATATATTCCTTAGCTGTTAAGTAATTGGAATGATTAGAGGATTGCACAAATATCTCGATGCTAGAAATAAAAACTGAATAAAAAATAATGAAGGTATCTAAATTAAGAATATAAATGACTACAACACAAAGGAAACAGGAAAGAGCATCAGAAAACTAACCTGTCAAAAAGCATGGGGATATGACAAGAGAGAGAGTGATGAAGAAAAGAAAAACTATCACCAAAGTTATCATGATTTTTTATGAATGAAGAGGGAAATTGAGTACCAAAATAATTTTCCTCAAAGAAGCAATTCTGTATTACAACTTAAAAGGTCCCTCATAAAATTCTTGCCTCTGCTAAAGATATTCTTTCCCTCATTTTTCATCTGGCTAACACATAAACACATAGTACATCACAAATTTCAAAGCACTGAAGATTTTCTTTCATTTGTTCACGTTTCTCAGTAGGTGGTGAGAACTATGAAGGCAGAAAACATGCCTGTTACTCGCTTGTGTATTTAACCCATCAGCAAAACATCTGGTACATAGAACACAAATTTCGAATATCTTGAAAGAGCATTTCCCACAAAAAAAAAAAAAAAAAGGAGACCAATTATTAAAAGAATAAAATGAAAACAAATTATTTCTGACTTGAAACAATAAACTAGAGAGTATAAAATGGCATGGGGAAAGTAGGCTTAATATTAAAGATGAATTTTAATGTTAAGGATATTGCTGCAGATGTTTATGTTGATATTGTGTGAAAATGATTACAATAGCTACCAATCACAGTATCACTACAGACCTATCACTTTTTTTAAGGAATTGAGCATTTAAAATAGTGAATTTAAATTTGTGTTTTAAGATAATTGTACGTTCACATATAGTTGTAAGAAATAAATCAGAAAGATGCCATAGATGCTTCACTCAGTCTTGTTCAAAATGAATATTGTGTTAACAATAGTACAGTATGACACACAGGAAATTGGCATTCATACAGTATGTGTGGAGCTTGGAGGCTGCTTTTTCACTTGGGTGTGGCTCTACATTAATGCCCGGCCCAAGGTAGGCAGGCCCAAGGCTGAGGGCTGCTTTTCACATGGGGATTGCTGTATTTTAAGGCCAACACCTGAAGTAGGTTGGCCCAAGGCCTGGGGGCAGGTCTTTATTAAGGGCAGGGCCTGAGGTAGGCAGGCCCAGGGCTTGGCGGCTGCTTTTTGCTTGAGTTGTTGTTGTTGTTATGTGCTGTCGAGTCAAACCCGACTCATAGCGACCCCTCCTTGGGTTTCCGAGGCAGTATCACTACAGAAGTAGGATTGCCCAACCTTCCTTCCGAGGAGT